AGTCAATAGAAGGATAATTGAAATCCCCCTTATTATTGAGTTTTCTATTTTTATAGCCACTCTTATCTCCCGGAGCATTTTACCATCACGGTCAGATGGTCTGCAGTATACTCCTACTACTATACTCTTATTATTCAAGCTTGGGATTTCTAACCATAGAGATTCTATGGTATAGTTTGATTCATAGAGATCTAATTTAGCACAAATCTCTATGCTTGTATAAAAAGAAGAATAGTGGTGGTGGTGGTAATGCTACCAATATACTTTGGGAATTCTACCTCCACAAGGAATTACAGTCTATGAAGACACACAGGATACAAGCCCCTAAAAAGCCTAGATCAAAGAGAAAAGATTCCCCTTAAACTCTGGAAAAATGTGTTTTTCAAGAAAATCAAAACAGTGAAAAACTGTCAAAAGCCACCAGTGCTGGATAGAATTCTGACAGGAGAAACCAGGAGACATGAATTGTATTGGCAGCTACTGAATGAGTTTTCTAGTTTAGATGCTGCATCATCAAGACTTTGTCACAGGGGCTGCTTTCAGAAATACACAAGTAGTTTGTATTTGGCACATGTCAGAATTGAACCACTGAGGGGAGGAAACAGACTCTGAATCTGATCAGAGAGCATCACGTTCATCTGCTTCATGGCCACCAGAGCAAGCACATCCTCCAGCAATTGATACTGTTGCATTGTTTGCTTGAAAAAAACAGACAAATGCCATACAATTGAAACACTTGAGAGAGCAATCTAAGGGAGGTAGCACTTCAAAGAGGAGATGATATGTTCTGCAGAATATCTATGGAAGACTTGTTTGCTAAGGATGCAGTTTATCACTCAGTGGTTTTCTTCCTACTTAAGTAAAATGAATCTTAAAGCAAAATCTAATTACACTGCAACAATAATCACCTTATGGCACTGAATTTATCAGCTAATGACAGAGACGTACATAAGATCATTGTCTAACTATAAGGTGGTTCTTCTGTCTATGCTACAACAAAGATATAAAGCCCTACTTTCCTCAGACAACAGTAACTCAGTGAAAACAGCAGAGGGAGACAGTGCCAGACAGGATCTAAGTTTGGATATAAGAAATAACAGGTGAATGGTAGGTGCCCTGTGCTTCTATGGAAAAAGTTTCTAAACATGGCATCCAACAAGCAGTCACTTGTAAAATTCCTCTGTGAATATTTAGTTAAAAAATGCGCCTGAGAGTGTAGGAGCACATCCAACCCAAACACTTCTCTTTGTTGGAGGCTTTTCCAATGGTAAAGTAGCAAAGTCCATCACTACTAGAGGTGCTGAAGAAGCCCAAGACTTGTACAGTACTCAACAGGCAGTGGACACAAGGATGCTTCTGCATGCTATATGTTCCAATATGGCTTTTGGGTCTCTTGGTGTCAAAGGGACCATAGTGATTATTAGGTCACCTGACACAGATGGTTTAGTGCTTCCAGGTCACTACTTTCCAAAAATGGAACACATAGATAACATGTGTATTGAACCAGGCACCATTACCAGCACAATTGACAAGCATCACTTCATACTTGTGCATGCAATTTGTGACACATTCACTCCTGATTTCTGCAACAGACTTCCTGCAGTACACTTCTCCGTCATCCATATTTGATATTGGGGGGGGGGTGAGGGGGGAATTGTGTTTAATGTCAAAATGAAAGGAGCTTACTGCTTCTGAGATCTTGCCAAATCGGGTCAGAGTGATGGACAAGCTGCACTTTCTGTAGTGAGGAAGTAGGTAGTGGTGACTACAGCAAGAAAGAAAAGGAGCTCCACAGGGACCTGAATTGCTTGCGCCTCAATGTAGCTGCCGAAAAGGACAAGTCACTGGCCAAACTCCCACCACATGAGGACAAAAAATTATCTTGGCAAATACCAAATATGGTAGCCACAGTTCTGGTTCTGTCCTTTTGTATTTACAGTTTGTTTTTGCAGCCATGATCACTATTAAAGCAGATCTTGCTCAAATCCCAACCCAAATGGCCCTTCCTAACCATTAAAAAACTCACGACTTCCATGAGGCCGATGGCACTCTAAGGGCTTGTCTACACGTGAAATGCTACAGCAGCACCACTATAGTGTCTCACTGTAGACACTACCTACACTGAGGGGAGGGGTTCTCCCCTCCGTGTAAGTAATCCATCGTCCGAAGAGGCAGTAGCTAGGTTAACAGAATTCTTCCATCAACCTCACGCCATCTACACTTGGGGTTAGATCAGCTTACCTACGCTACTCAGGGGTGTGGATTTTTCAAGTCCCTGACTGACACAGTAAAGTCAACTTACTTGTCTAGTGTAGATCCGACCTAAGTCAGCAAAATCATCTTGGACTCCCACTGGTCTGTTTCCATCCAGTCTTTGCCTGTTTAGACCCCAGTTCAGGAAAGGATTTAAACATGTGGTTAAGTCCATCCCTATTCAGCATAGCACTTAATCAAAGACTAAACTTCAGGCAGCTGCTTAAGTCCCATTGAAGTCAATGGAAGGTAATCATGTGCCTAAATGTAGCATGTGCTTAAATGCTGTGCTGAATAGGGATGGCCTGATCTCTGCTGAATTAGGGCCTTAGATTGTAAACTCTTAGGAGCAAAAGACATGTCTCTGTGTGTGTCTTGTACAGCACTGAAAACAGTGTTGGTGCTTATCAAGTAATAATGAGATCAAGAAAACCCTCTACATCATTGTCATTTTGAGCACTTACATTTTCACAGAGTAATACCATACAAATCCTATATTTCGTTCAATACATAGTTTGTGATGTAAAAGTAAATGTAGCATCTGCATCCTCAAACAAGACCGTATTTAAACATCTCTGAAAAGGTCAGCCATAACAGGGCACATGACTTGTTATATACCTTGAGTCATTTTCAATTAAAAATGAAACAAGAGCGTTCATAACTGGGTTGAAGTCTATGCCCCTTTTTTGAGGGGCACTCAAACTTAAGATTTCACAAAATAATGAATAATCAGATAAGACTGTGGGTCACATGAGTCTCTTGTTTTACTCCACTGGCTTATCTTTGACATTGCTCCTGGAAAATTATATTAATCCTTTAATCCAGGCCAAATAGCTACACATATTGAAAAAGGGAAGTTGGACATTGATATGCAAAAATGAGCATACAATTGTGTGCTGATATTTGCGTGTGCAATTACCATAAATGCACATATAAACAGGGCATTTGTACAGATGACTCGCCAGTTAGGGCCTGATTCACCAAAGTTTAACATATACAGTTTCACACTTGGTTACCAAAATTTTGTTGGCTCACATTATTTTGCTCCATTTGCATGGGATCTCTACTTATGCAAAATTAATGGTAATGGCCCCTTTCACTCATTCCACTAGGAATATGTTCATCATGGTCACAAAAGTTCACATGCTTAATGTTCCTAGGTGTTAAGGAAAGAGCCAAGAGTATATTCCACATTTATTGCATGCAAACTATATCAGAACAAATCTATCATGCTGTCTAAAGTGTTCAATTCATACAAAGTCATTACTCTGATTTGTTTTGAACTGGAACTGAGGCTGAATTTTGTCCTTATGAAAAAAGAAGACTAACACCACCACAGGATTTGCACGTCATCATATGGGCAAGTGTTATACAAAAGTGTCTGCCCAAAAACATTTCAGTCGTGGGCCTTTAGAGCACAGAGAATCAGTTCTACGTTTGATTTACACATTCACATAACATTTACAAATGAAAACCAGTTTAGATTTTGTTTGCATGTGCAAAAGCACAGCTGTAACTTCAGAAGTCAGCCTGAAGGCACACTGAAAATGTGCTTCTGCACAATAAGCCACCTCACAGGAAAAAATATGAAAACATTACAAAAACAAGGAAGTAAAATATTTATTCAGACCATTGGAATTTGTAAACTTGTATTTCAGTAACTGCAGTCAGGTAAATAGTTCTCCTTTGCCCCAGCTGAGGTTTCCCCAACACTGGGCATCCTGGTGGCAGACATATGCACTGACCAGTGCCTCCTGTGCATGGGAGCTCCTTAGCCACGAGGCTAAGTACACCAAGGCCAGTACACCAAGAGACATAACTGACCATTCTCACTTGGTGGAGGAGGGAGTGAAGATCCCAGCAAAGCCCCTCTCCCCACTAAGCCAAGGGAAAGAATCAAGATCCTGCCTCAGCTCCCCTTCCCCAGGCCTAGTTGCAGGGGAGGGAAAAATCCTTGTGCACCTCTCACTTACTCCCTTTCTCAGGATTGATGACTCCAACTATTCAAAAATCATGAGTACAGTCTAAACCCGCCCACGAGATTGTTTTAAAGCTAGTCAATATTTTTAACCCAATGAGACTTAAACAAATATTTGGTTCTTTTTTTTCCTGTCTTCAGGTTTCTTAGCCTTCAGGGTTTATTCGTGTCAAGTTTTCTCCACAAGCAGAAGGGCTAGAAACTTACTTTTTAAAAATGAAAGCTGAGATTCTCACAAAAATCACTTGATTTTGGAAACTGAGGATTTAAGAAAGATTCCAAGTTATCGCAAGCCATGCAATAACATAGTGGGAGCTGACAACATTGCTTTCCCTGTGGATTGGAGAGAAGAGCTTGGTGCAGCTCCCTCTCTCCAGATTTGAGGCGTGAGTGAAGATCTTGGCACTGACCCCCACCCCAATGCCTGAGTGGGATAGGGAGCAAAGATATTGGCTGTTTCTCCTGCCGTTTAGGCATAGGATCTTCCAGTACCCAAGCAGCAACAGAGCAGGAGCAGCAGAGCCACATAAAGAGATGAGTGATGTACTAGTTGATTTGGGAGCTACAATTGTTTACTGGGACATGGGGTGGCACTGGTGGTAATTAATGGAGCAGAGGGTAAATGGGAGTCAATGAGTGGGAGAGGGATTGAACAATTGAGCAAGGATAGTTGGATTTCAGGGAGAGAATAAATAGAGGGGCAGATTCTTAACTGGTGTAAATCAGCATAGCTGCATTGATTTGAACAAACTCACTCTTACGTTCTTACCTATAATTTCAGCAAGTAGCAAAGAAGCAGCTGTGTGAATTGTTGCAAAGTAGCATGCTGTAGTCGTGCCATTCTTTAGCGTTCTTCTCTATAAAAAGAATTCAGTTTTGAGCTGTATGAAAAAAAAGTGTCACATTGCCAAAATGACAGAACATGCAATCAGTGGTTTTAATCTGCAAGATGGCTCTACAGAATTTTGCACTGACTTGGACTGAAAGAGAAGTGAGGAGCAAAAAAATACTAATTTTATAGCCAATTCTTATTAATGTATTTAAAAGGGAAAACTACGGCTGATATACTTATCAGTTCAAAACCGTAACAGTTCCCTTCATCCCACAATGTGTCCTTTGGATCCATGTCCTCCCTCGATGGTAAACTGCAAGAAGACTATAAACATCTGCTTCAGGGAGTAGGTATCTCTTAAGGAAACTGCAGTGAGGTGAGGCCTCTACTCAAGAAACCAATGTGTGATGCTGACAATACACTACCTAATCTTTCATCTTTGGGTCAGATCATAGAGAAACCATATCCAGGTATAGTCTCCCTGAAGTAGATGTTGATAGTCTCCTTTGGCTTGGGGTTGTGCAGCAGTCACTGGCTTTACTTGTGTTTGCATTTTAAATTTTGGCAAAGGTGCCTGGAGCCTAGGATAGGTGATATATATGTTAATTGCTGCCTATCATGTGATAAAATGAGTTCTGATGTAAGCAATTAGGCAAAAAGACATATATACATTATGGATAATTTGAGTGAATTTATACTTAGTCTTAACTGAGAAGTTCACAACTATTTCATATTAATTTTATGGACTTTTACAACTGTTGAAGTAGGAACTATCTTGGTGATGCACATTATAATAAAGGGCTATCTAGATTCTTATATTGGTCCCCATCACAGTAGCATCTTACTTTTTAGCAAAGTACACATTTAATAAAGGTGAGACAACATTGTCAATTAAATGCTGTTTTACTGAGAAACACATATTGACAAAGTCCACAAAGCTGGTATTTTCAAGTAACAGACTTGTGCAATAAGTTAAATTGTAATACGAATGAAAAAGTTAGTGGAACTACATCATAGTTATACTTGTACTAGATTGCTAAACTTGAACCAACTTTGCAAGCCACTAAAACCCTAAAAAACAGAAGCTAAGAACTTCGCTGAATTCACACACCTCTAATCACATTCCTAGACATCAGAATTAGAAAGGGATAATCTTGAACAATGACAATATTCCCAATTTATTTAGTTCCTATTTTTCATAATATAAATTTTAATATACTTCCTTATTATTTTTTTTAGTTGTACTGTCAGCTTCTGAAAGCTGATATAGTTCATTAATGTGCACTTTACCTTATAATAGTATGCAGAAGACACTTGCTGTACTTACTACAACTCTGGTGTATACTTCTTCAGCAAAATCATTATCTTTGTATTTGGCTTCTGTTGGAAATGTATATGTGTTTAACCATTCCAAAAGAGGTAGATTTATTCTTGATCCAGCAAATGCATACTGAGGTGCATGGATATGAGTATCAACCATTCCTGGCATGAAGAATTCACTGTTTAAAAAAAAAAATCATAGTAGTTTGGGTTTTTAAATAATTGCTCTTAAAGAATAACTTTTATGTTTTTGTTTTGTACAACATGCTTGTGTGATGGCCCCCAGCATGAGTGGTCTGCAGGGTTTGAACCCCAGATCTTCAGCATCCAAAGTACAGACGTCTACTAAGGAAGTAAATCCTTTTACTGTGTGCAGCATCAAGTACTCCAGGACACTGCCTTGTGTCACCACAACTACCCCTCTGAGTGGATTTCCAGCACCAGAAGCCCTGGGTCATGGGCTCCGCCAGGAATTAAAAGTAAATATGATGTCAAATATTTTTAAAAACATAGAAAATAATAATTTTCCCCTCTTGTAGTCTCACAAAACTCTTATTCTCATACTCTGAAGTTATTTTCTTGGAAACTAATTTCTATGGCTATAAATATTTCTTCCAAATGTGATGAGATGTCTAAAAAAATGCATTTGGCAATGGAGCTGAGTGAATCGTCCATAATAACGTATTTGCTGAATTTCACTTTTTTCTGTTTATGAAATGATAAACAAACCATGAAAGTCTCAGATGTATTTGTTCAAAATTATTCACAAATTTCTTCATGAGTTTTCCTGTATGAAGTTTGTGCATTGTTAATTAAGAACATTTTATATTCAAACTTTTGAAATTTGCTCCATAAGTCACATGCTACAGTTTCTGCCCCCTGATTGGGTGACATATGTAACTAACCTACACAGCATGTATTTTGAATATTACAATTAAGTATACAACTCAGAATTCACATTTGCCAAATATTCAGGCATTTTTGTTTCAAATTTGCTTCTTGTTACTATTTTGATAATAAATATTGACAATTTGAATGTTCTCAAAGCACAAACACAAGGATTGTAAGTATGGTTGAATCAAAATTCATTTTTGAATTTGGATTAATATTGGCAGAATTTTGTTTGTATGTGTTGTTTGCTCAACTGTTCAACAGTGTGAAATGTACAAATGTGTCATATTTTGAAATCTATGCCTCAGTCTTATCAGACGGGTAGGTAACGCAAACGGAGATCATGCTAACTGACAGCTCAGACAGAATTTTAAAGTGAAGTGCTACCCCAATTTATTAACTCAGCCATGGAGTTTTCCGCCTGCTGCCAACAAAATGGACAACAGAATGTAAATTTACACCTCTAAAAAAGATAGAGAATGTTGTTTACAGTGATGCAAAAAGAATAGGTTATTTGTCAAGCCTAAATAAGGCTTTACAATCTGAGAGTTATGAATCAGGTAGCACAATTCACTCATTGCTAAACTCCCAACTCATGGAATGAAAAAAGCGTATTCATGGTCCACATTTAGGGCCCAATCCACAATTCCTTGCACAGGCAAAACCACAAAGGACAGAATGGAGTCTGGATCCATAAGTGCAAATACATATATAATACTTCAGTCATCCAGGGAACAAATTGAAACCAAAATGACTAAATGAACTTAAATACAATACCTACTGATTACTAAGCTCTCTTATATCAGATGCTTTGAAGCCCCACTTCTTAGCTAGTTGCTCTTGCTGATCTGCTTGCTCCAAAAACACAATCTAAGGAGAAAAACAAAATAGTTAAATGTTTTAATATTGCATTTAAATATATACACAACATTAACATCACATGATGACAAAATAGTAATCATTTTACAACATCTGATTTTAAGTGCATACTTCTTTACAGCAGAAATGGGCTTGTATTAAAACACGTTCTACCTCATTTCCCAGGTCTGACTTTGAAATGCCTATTCACGGTCCTAAGCAAACCAACCCACGAAACTAAGGAAACCAACCCACCTTGTACCTGTAACTTCTTATGGGAAGTGAATCCAGGCACTATATACACTCAATAACAAGACCACCACTATGTGATTGGCATAGTTCCAGCATCTACCTTCACACTTCATAACAGCTGGTGTACAACAATTCTGCTAGTAGTACTGGCTTTCCCAGTTAAGCCCTATGGATCTGATTTAGCGCTTGCACTGTTCAATCTCTATATCAGCAACACTGCAGTCACATCATCCTGTGAATTCATCTAGGCAGATTATACTGTGTTAGCAACGCAAGCATCCTCTCTGAAGGCCACAGAGAAGGTTACGAAAAATGACTTCCAGACACTTGAGATGTATTTCAAAGCTTGGCAACTGAAACCCTTCGAAAACACTCATCTCTGCCTTCCACTTGAACAACTACGAGGCCAACGTGCCGTCAAAAGTGGACTTTTCTAGTCTGCCTTTATTGCATGACCACAATCCATGGCACCTTGGAGTTACCATCGATCAGATGCCAAGCTATTGCCAATACCTTGACACCACCAAAAAGAAGGGTTAACATCATTCAGAAGCTTGCTAACATCCTGGGGATGTGATGCCTGTGTTGGGATGGTGCCAAATTGGTATGGCCATACTGAATGAATGGTTTGAGTATAACTTGGCATGACTTAAACATGGGTGAATGGCTGCAGAGGATCCTGGGAGCAGGTTCCCTTTAAGCAGAAGCAAATTTGATAAAGAACTGGCAAAGTCTGCATGTACAATCGATATCGAACCTATTGGTTGGCAAATATGGGCCCATGCAAAAGTAAATATCACATGTATAAAGTTCCAGCGTGGAGCGCAGGTCAACCTCGTTATAATGACCATACAGCAAGGACACCATGCAGAAAGCCAGAGCGAATGATTGATAAGTGTGTAAATGTGGGGTGATCTTCATTCGGTACCACCCTCCCCATCCCCTTCTAAAACACTAATTGGGTAAACTTAGTCACCACACGCCCACAGAGCATGCTTTTAAGGCATGAAACTCCTTTGAGGAAAAAGAGTGTAAGAATGAAGCAAAGTAAATTACTGTGGTTGGTATTCCTTAATTGACATTTGAAGCAGCAACACTGCTAGACAGAGAAGCCAGAACTCTGCTCCGTGAGCTCAAGTAGGACTGTGAACCAGAGGGGTCTCAAGGCAAGCAAGGCCTTGCTTCGAGGGAATCCGAGACAGACCAGAGGTCTGAGAAGAACAGACCAGGAGGGAAGAAGCCATCTATGAAATTGGTAATCACCTTCTCTGTTTGCCAAGCAGGAACTGCGTGAGGCTAGCGCAGGGCCTGGTTCTGTATGTTTGTGAAAGAGAGACTTGTTAAGAGAAATGTATTGCTCTTAATGTATAGCTCTTTATGTCTAACATAGGAGTTATGTGCTTCATATAACCCTTTACTGCTTGTGTAATTCCTTCTCAATGAACTGCTGTGTATTGAAGATAATTACTGTGGACCTTTTTCACTGGTATGACAGTAATCTGCTCCACCGGCAGCCCGTAAAGATCCATTTCAGGGGTAGTAGCGCCCTCTGTCAACAGCATGCAGACTTTGAATGTCAGTACAAGCCCTTGTTTTGTCACCGGTGGAGTACTGCACACCAGTTTGGTGCAACAGCTCCCCCACCATTCTCGTTAACACTGAAATCAATGCCATGCTCAGGATTGTTAGTAGCTCTCTCAAATCAACGCCAACACCATGTCTACCAGTTATGGCAGGCATCATGCCTGCCAACATCAGGCAAGATGCTGCTGTGGTCCAGGAGCACAATAGGATCCTGGCCGCTTGGGATCTGCCGATACAACAAGATCTCAATTTGCTGCTACTCTCCCGATCCAAATCCAGGAAGCCTTTCTGGATCCATGCATCACCACTACAGGCCAACCAAAAGGATGCCAGCACTCACTGGCTTGAATTGTGGGCCACTTGTGATGTCCCAAACAAAGACTTGGTTGAAGATCCAACAAAAGAAGTCGCAGGATTCTGCCTTCCCTGTAGGAAGGGGCCTGCACTAAACTGCATTCAGGCTATGCAAGGAAGGTGTGGATATTTCCTCCACAAATACAAAATCCAAAAACCACCAAATTGTAACTGTGGTGAAGTACAAATCATGCAACACATCCCAGACAACTGCCTCATTCACACTTACAGTGGTGGTACAAAGGGGATCCACCTAGCTACCCCAGAAGCATTAGAATGCCTTTGAAATCTTAAAATTCAATTATAATCCCAGGCCATTGCTTTTCAAATGCCATACGAAAGAAGAGGCAGCTCTACGGTGGCCTTACTGGAACTCACTTTTACAGTATCCAGCAACATAAGGGTCAAAAGAATTGCCTAGCATAAATATAAGGGAATAAACTATAATGCTATAAGCAACTTTATACTGGCATAATTGCATCCATACTAGGGCGGTGTAAATATTAACTATTCTAATTTCTAAACACATATAGTTACAGTGGTACAAAAACTGTACATTGATCAGTCCTTAGACAAGATTTAACAACTGATGTAACACACAATAAGATGGAGCAGGGATAGGGAAGACAAGGACAACAAAACAGCAAAAAAGCCACCCATAGTTTAACATGGACCAGCTAGGTACCTGGATACATGGTGCTTATAAGTTAGTTTTATTTAATGAAAAGATATAAACAAGGGTCTCCATGAAGAAAATCTAAGAAATTGTAAACAATAATGAAGACTTTAACTGAAAAAGCTGATTTTTTTTTTCATAATGCTGCATATTTTTGAATAGTGTGTGATTGCAGATTTTTCACTAAGTTCCTCTGGAACCTTAGGACACTACAATAAAATAAATATTTAACAATAATCACAGAAGTGTAATAATCCATTGACGCTTCACACAAGGCAACATCTCTCTCTCTTTTTTGAAAGTGTGTTTGGTGTGTTCAGTCAGTTGAACACCTTCAGGTGTTTTATAATCCAGACCTACTAGAATTTGTGATTGAGCAATAAAGAAAATATCACAGAGATACTGAAGTAAAAATGGGTGGGGAATGACTAACGCTAGCTATTGAACAAAGTAAGTGAGAGAGAGACAAACATGAACTACCAGATGGCAAATGCTGGAAACAGACTTGTTGCCATGGAACAGGAGTGGGTATTTTATTCATAGCAAACCATTACTCAAGATGTTTTTGAAATGATTCAGTTCTGGAACAACAGAAAACCTTACTGTAATCAGTCATGCAGAATTCATCCTAACAGAAATATACAGTCCCTAAAGACAGAAAAATTAAGCAATAACATAGGGCTGAGTGAAAGATTAGTCCAGAACCATGAATGAAATTAAACCAGAGTAAGGGTGGGTTCTAGTACTTCTCCTGAAAATCAACCTAGGTCAATGAACATTCATAAACATGGGCTCATGCTGTTCACACAAACGTAGGTTCCCCACAAGGCGTCACATACACAGCCTTCAAGTATCTTTGCTTTTGAGTTGTATGTTCCTGTGTATAACAACTGACACCTAATTAATAATGGTCGCTGGGTCATATTTTTCATTACTCATTGACATCAATGGAAAGTGGATGCAAAATACTACCATATCAAAATGGTAATGTATTGCACTCTTCTTGCACTGGTGCAAACAGTTACACTGGAAAATCAGGGCCTCTGTGTCTGAGAAAGAACTAGAGAACAACCAGGGACTTTATGATGCAAGAAAAGTTTTTAATTACTTCCTAACCATTCAAACAGGTGACTGCACCATGGAAATTAATTCAAACTATGTTATTTTCAGAGGAATCAGATAAAATCCCTTTTCCCACGCAAGTACAGTTACATGATCTGGAACTAGTTCTCCCATATGACCAGGGTGGATTGGTTGTACCAATGACAGAATACTAAACGGGCACTGGTGCCCAGTTTCCATCTAGTGCACTGTAATAGCAAGAAATGGAATCTTCAGATTAACCCAGATACCAATGGTACTTCTGATCAGTACTGAGAGAGATTGCCAGTACTCGTGAGTACCTTTTGTCTTTCTGAAGTTTATTAAAAACGTGGAATGAGTTTATACAATTCTGTATAATTCAAAATAGAATTGAAGTTCACCACATCAATCACTCACCCATAATTCCTGGTAGCCTAAAGCACTTGTGACCCAACTTTTGCAGTGTGGGAAACTAAGAGAAAAACTGCTTTACAGGTTTGTTTGTAGGTGAAGCTCTTATTTCATGGAAGCAGTAAGTTGACATCCCACACACTTCTACCTTTTTCACTACCTACTACTTCATATGTAGATACAAATCAGAATAGAAACATGCCCAAACTTCGTTTGATTATATTGAAATACAGTAGTAACTGACTCTCCACTGCTGAATAGAGGTGATAAGTCATTTATGTACTTTTTTTTTCTCCTTAGTGAATAAACCTTTCTAAATAAACTATGTCACCAATGAGAGATGAACTTAAACATGATTTATTTCAGATCATAACTAGTCTGAAATTTGCAGTCATGTTCCAACTCATTTTCAGTATGGTCATTAGTATTTTTATTTACTGTGTTTAATTTATACAGCATCCGAAACCAGGCTTGGCACTTCACGGATGAGGTTGCAAATCTGAGAATCCTAATCCTGCAAAGATTTGAATCCCATAGAAGTCAATTAGGATGATTCATATGCTTAAAGTTAAACACGTGTGTAAGTCTTTGCAAGATCGGAGCCTAATTTTAGACAGAAAGGGACAAACCAGTATAACATACAGAAGAGGTG